TCCAGTCTCTCGCAATCTATTAAATGTCAACATAAACACTCTTCGGTTTGGCACTCTTCTGTTTGGAAATCGTCGTGCATATTCTCGCACCGCCTTTAAAGCATTACCGTTGCAGAAACCGTATACAAAAACCATATCAGCATATTCACTATTAGAATACGTACGCGGCATATTGCAAAAGACAAAATTCATCTACTGTTAAAGGCTTTCAAAGAGCGACTGACAAATTCATAACAGAAAGTGGAAAATGTAATCAAATATGTCGGTGCTAGATATGGCAAGAAATGTAAACATTTTTTTTCGATTTCTCTGAAACGGAGCAAAAACGAGCATATGTCTATAGGACTTTTTTTCTTAGTTTTTTACTCCTCTACACGCTCCCGAAGTTTTGCCATTTAATTTGGAAACACCCTGTATATATATGTATATCAGGTGTTTCAGACCACCTGTACCACCCTTTTATTTTCGCAAGGTCTAATCGAAAACGTGTTCAGACAAAAGTTGTAGGGTTTCAAAAGATCTATTTCCTGGTGCTATGAGTTTGACCTTGGGTGACGTCGCCAAAGTCACATCGATTTTTTTAAATGGAACCCCCTATTTTTCATTACATTTTTCTTGTAGCTTACCTCGAAAACTTTTCAAAACACTATAATAAGATATTTTTTCATTAAGTATTTTTCGAATTATAAAGCTCGAAAGTTACAGTACAGCCGGCATTAGCATTACGCAAGGTGTCCGACCGACGGCTAAAACCTCTTGAATATTGTTCAGGATCATGACCTGGATAAAATCTTTGTCAAGATCAAGGCCATTGAAGATTATTCCTCTTATTTTCATTTTTGCACTAAAAATTCATTTTTACGTAAAATTGGAAATAAGATACAATCATCAATGGCCTTGATCTTGACAAAGATTTTATCCAGGTCATGATCCTGAACAACATTCAAGAGGTTTTTAGCCGCTGGTCGGATACCTTGGGTAATAATAATGCTAGAGATACTTCCAAGCTTTATAACTCAAAAAGTATTTTATGAAAATGAACTTAATTATAGTGTTTTGAAAAACTCGAGATAAACTACAATATGCAATAAAAAAATGAGGGATTCTATTTAAAAAAATTGATGTGACCTTGACTTGATCTTGGCGACGCCACCCAAAGTCAAACTCATAGCACCAGGAAATAGATCTTTTGAAACTCTACAACTTTTGTCTGAACACTTTTTCGATTGGATCTTATCTTGCAAAGATAAAAGGGTGATACAGGTAGGCTGAAACACCCCAGTACATAAATATAATTTTATATAAATTGGTAAATATAAAACGGAGGAAACGTTGCAAATGCAAGCCACTGGAAGTACGTTTGTGATATATAATCTAATACACGTATGTAAAATATATATATATATATCTCCTATTTATACATTATATTTGCCGAATGTATATAGCGTGCAGTGATCAATTATTTTCGTGCAATATAAAATGATATCAGTTGATGACACATCTGCCATCAAGAGATCTACCTGTTCTTTTTAATTGAACTTCTTGTATGACATCATCTTCCTGTTTTTCTTTTCACGTTCGAGAAGAAAAAAGAGAAGATGAACTATGCGAGTTCAGCTAAAAAGAACAGACTTAAATTTATACCACTCCTTTAAAAAAAAAAAAAAAAAATACAAAGCAACTATAACGAAAACTTTAATTTATGAAATTCTTAGAATTACATTATCAATTATCTCTAAAAATTAAACGGTAATATATTACGAATTAAGACGGGTTACAAGCCTTGTACACAAGTAGTGCACAAAATTGGAAAGAGGATGTACAATATATTCCGAGGCACATTACACCACCACACAATAGTAATAATATTTGTGTACAACTTTCTAACGAAAGTATATATGAATGTGTTTTAATATTAAGTGAACGTGATTTTTGTTTGCAATACAAATTATAATATAACGTAACAAGATTTTAGGATTCATGAGCAAATGATGGTTTAAAAAATGAAGAAAAAGAAAAACGAGTAAACCTCAATTATTTAATCGGTTTTCTTATCACCACTCGATTGCGTAAGTTTCGTATATTCCTTAGTCAAACGATCGTATTCCTTCGTGAGTGACTCCGCCTGCGATTTTACTGCTTCTTTATCCTTCCTTTCTTTAGTCAAATTACTCTCGAGCTCCTGATTCTTCGCTTGCAACTCCTTAATTTGAGTTTTCAATTCCGAGACAGCTTTGTCGTGTGCCTCGTTGGAATCATTCTGTGCACTTTCCCCAATTGTTCTCTGGGACAACAAGCTCCTGGCTGTGGTTGTCGCCGACTGAGCCTGCCGCATGGCTGCTTCGTTTTGCGCGAGTAAAGAAGCTTGAGCAGATATCAGGATGACAAGACGGCGTATCACTAAGCTCAGAAACAGCGCAAAGCCGGATATGTAGAAATTCCTCTGTGCGCGAAACAATCTCATATTTTCTGGAAAGAGGGTATAAATGTAAGCGTTAGAATAGTGACATAATTTGTAACGTAATTAGGAGTCACAAGAATAGGAAATTCTTGTAATGTACAAAAAGGAACATTGCGAGATACAAGAGCGTAAAGGGTGATTCTTAAGTATTCTAAGATACAAAAAAATCGCCTCTTAAAATTTTTCAGAGTACTTAAGAATCACTGTGTATAATCTACCTTGCATTTCGATGTTCAACTGATGATGATGCTCTGTGTGATCCAAGTTCGTAGAGTACTTGCGCATCTCTCGTATGGCGTCTAGCAGAAAGAGAACCAGAACGCCCAGTAAGACCACAAAATAAATAGAAGCCTGATTATTTAAGCTTTGCAAAAAGCGAGACTTGAAGAACTTTTGCCATCTGGTCGGCGAGGCTACTGGAAGCACCAAAAGGAGAACGATCGCAACTTCGATATAGAGGAAACCAGCTATGAGCGTCCACTGTAAACTCATGTTTGTCTCTTACTCTATCTCTGCGTTTAGATACCTAAAAAAATGATAGAATATACGTGTCAATGTAATCTTGATATCTCTCAACATCTTGAAAATGTTTGGAAATCAAGTAAGTATTTATTGGAATTCCTTCTTGCCAGCTGAATCTTATCTTTTACTGACAAATAAATCACTGTGCTTCCTAGCATCTACAAAATGCCTATGCAACAGGAAGTTTTAATCTCAATTCTATTCATAAAAACAGGCATAAGGCTATATATATATATATATTTCTACCAATATAGATTAACTTTTTAACCTTGGTTTGACTTACTATCTTATTTCAAGTTTTAAGAACTAGAAAAAGATGATTAAATTAATCTGAAACTAAATTTAATCTACATTGATAAAAATGGACACAAGTCCGTTCCTCTTATGCCATTTCCCCCAATGCTAGTTCAACTTCAATCTCAATACAACTAATATCCATTTCTATCAATATAGATTAACTTCCATGTTGGTTAAACTTATTTTTGTCTTCTTATATTTTTAAGAATTAAAAATAGTTTTAAAAGTCATTTTTTTCAAATATTGTAGGAGGAAAATTAAAATTATTTTCTCTATGAAAAGAAGCAAATATGGTAGATTTTACAAACATATAAGAATTTTTCTATCCTTAAGAAAGAAACTGAGAAAATTTCTGGAAAAAATGGAAAGAACCGGATTTTTTGGAAATTTTGAAACTATATTTAGAAAAAGATGGAGAGTAAGTCGAATTAAAATTACAGTTAATCTACGTTGGTAGAAATGGTCATCTCTTCATCTTTTTCTACTTCTAAGAATTAGAAAAAGATGAAAAATAAATTGAATTGAAATTTAATCTGCATTAGTAGAAACGAGCATTAGCTGAATTTCTAGCACTATTTTTTCTTTTCTAAAGCAGAGTAAAAAAGGAAGAAAAATAAATTGTGCAAGAAAAGTCCAACTAGAAAAAAAAAAACAGGTTGACACTTAATATATTTCGCGCTGCGACGCAATTATTAAATTAACTTCTCGTGGAGTGCATGCGAAGAGAATTGACAGGATGATACGTGATTTTGAATCGGATCATAATCAGTCATGACGCGACATTTCATTGTGATGAAATGACACGATCAGAGAGAGGATTCGTGGAAATCTCGTCGATCGGCCTGCTGACCATTTTCAAAGCCGCACCTGTCACGTTTCGGATGTGTGACAGACACGATCCGCTCGCGAAAATAAAGCACGTCGTCAGGTAAGTCGAAGCTCAACAATCCAGAGATTGGAATCGTCGGCTCTCATCGGCTCTCCGGCACGCCTCTAAACTTAACACACACACACACACACATACGATACGAGGATATATCTGATATATTTTGAATAGCCATTTAAGGAATGAATCCTCGACGTATTTATCAGCTGGCGTTTCGTTTGCCCGGATGACCGGCGGCGAATTTCACTTGTCAGCCGTGATCAACCGCTGCCAACGGATTCACCAGGATCATTAATTTCTTACGTGGTTTTCCCCTGTGAGATAAGTGCAACGGCAAGAGGATTGGAACACGTCGTCGGCCTCCGGCGATTTATGTGACGCGCAAAGTGTACACGAATAGGACTGTCGACTCAAAGTGCGAACGTCCCGTCGGTAGTTTTATAAATAAACCGTACCTCGTGACGTCACTCGGAATCCTCGCAAAATATACGATTTTCTGCATCGCTTCTCCGTCTCTCTTTTTCCCTTCCTCTTTCTGTATTCCTCTTCTCTCTGTCACAATATGCACACGAACGCTTTAAAGCGTTTTGGATTGGTCGATTTGTAAAATTCTTTCTTCTGATTGGTCCATCAAACGCTTCAAAGCACTTGCTAGTGAGACTTTACCGTGTTCCATTCGAAATTTACTGCCAGTACTGAAAATGCTACGGTTTACGTTACGTACACTATAGATTTTCAGTACTGGCAGTCAATTTTGGAACACAGCCTTTGACCACAGTCACAGGCAACCGTGTGAATTACGTCAATTTCTATCACGTGATTTAAATTGACGCCGAAAATGAGCGTCGAGCATCAGCATGAAAAGGTACCTTTAGAGTTAACCGTGAGTTATGAAACTGGGCCTTAAAACACCTATTGTAGATCCGGGGTTAATCTCAAGCAATGGCTGCGTTCAGCAGACTCAACAGTTTTGCAACCGTTTTATGATTGTCTGCTGAGATAGGACCATTCTTCTAGATCTAAAAGTATGATCCAATTAGCGCGAAGGAAACTTACAACAGTTGCAAAACAAACGTTCTGCTGAACGCACCCATTGGCTTAAGATGCTAATACGGCTCTCTGATTGGCTCATGCATTAGTGGATGGACGGGACGGACGAACCATGAAGTAAGACTAAGGAGACGTAACTGTGTAGATTGAAAGTGGTCCCGAAAAATGTTCCGTGTACCGCCATGTCCGCCGAACGGAATAACTTGCAACATTCCATCGCCATATTGAATATTTATATGTGTGCAGTATACTTGCGACTGTATCGTACATATGTGTATTAAATACGTGTCTCCTAAAAAGTAGAGTAGCTTGCCCTCCTAAAATCTTAATAAAAATATACCCATTCGTCGCGTTTTCACTCAAAACGAAAGAATCTGTAAGAAAAATGTGGCGATCGGCCTTGTGAACCGAGTTATTAAGCGTTAAAGTTCGAGACTACAGGTTAGGATATTTGTCATTCCGAAAATAATGGAAAAAAAAATAAAAATAAATAAATAATGGAAATTGACAATAATGGACCCAATATTCATATAAAAATAATATATTTTATTAGTTATATACTTTTTAGCTTTTGATAAAGAACGATAATGTAAGTTCGTTCGTTTTTTTTGAGTTTCGAGAAAACGCGACGAATGGGTATATTTTTATTAAGATTTTAGGAGGGCAAGCTACTCTACTTTTTAGGAGACACGTATTTAATACACATATGTACGACACAGTCGCAAGTATACTGCACACATATGGTCTGTTTTCTGTTCCTGCACTAGGCTGCACTAGAACTCTCTTTCTCGCTTTCGTTAAATATCAAACATACATCTATCTCACTTTAAGTTCCAAAAGTATACACTAGTTCAGCCACAGAAAACAGACCCTTCAATATTCAATATGGCGATGGAATGTTGCAAGTTATTCCGTTCGGCGGACATGGCGGTACACGGAATATTTTTCGTGACCAACTTTTTTCTCCCTATCCTATCTAGTTAGGTCTCCTTAGTCTTACTTTATGGGACGGACGGACGTATGTATGCATGTACGTATGTATATATGCACCTGTCAATCTTGTCAATCCTGTCACGCGCTGTCACGCGCTGTCATGGCTTCATTGTTTACATGCTGAACGTCAAACCCGTCGGATCGATACCGTTTGCAGCAGTTTGCAGGTCTGTACATACACGCACGGATGCTGACGAATGCGTCCGAATGCGTCCGACCGATGAGCTTCTAACGACGCGTGAAGATGCTTGTACACGTGTCTGATTCGTCGTAGGAGTGCAGTACGATTAATAAGTGGCAAACGCGTGGCGAAGAAGAGAAGGCAACGAGGCAACGAACTAGAGAGAAAGAGAGAGAGAAAGAGGGGGTGTGCGTCGGGGTATGTGAACGGGAATCGGGAAAAGAACCGACGAACGCCGGGTTACCCGGGTACGACGCGGCGAGACGCGGCGAGACGCGGCGATGGATCACTCGTAGTTCTGTAAGTTTTGTTCCGACAACGCGATCGAGCCTCGAGAATATATTATATTCCCGGTCCCGCGCTATCCCAAGTTAAGTCTATGGGACACAACGTCGCCAGCTGGGAGATGATACGCACGCGGGAGGAAAAGTCGAATTTCGACGGTACGGACGGCACCGAGGTTCAGCATACGATTATGAACATGAACAACATGGTAGACGCCAGGGCCTGTTACAAGCCTAGCGGCAAAGTGAGTGTCGAGTTTAAACACGAAATTAAAACGCATCTAAAACGAGGCAACTTTGATCAAATCCTGATTAATCCAACCAGTGGAATCGATTTCTCACGACGCAAAATTTCTTACTATGCAACTCGTCGCTAATCCCATCTTTTTCTCTGTGTGTCAAACAAAGAAGTAACAAGAATTTACCCTAATAATTTATTTATTATTTTAATATAATTACTTGGATAGAACTGTTAATTCTATTGTTTGCAGTAACCCTTTAACCCTTAGCTGGCGATGGCTGGATCATTCAAAATTGAACGAATATTTGTTAGTTTTCAAAGATTATTTTTATATCCCCTTTATATTATTACGAGAGTATCAAAAATCAAACTCTACTGTTAAAAGAAAACTGCTACTTCTTTCTTTATTTATTGTATTTATACGCAGATCTACTTTTTCATTATCTAACGGTGAATTCAATCATTTGCACTATACTAGATTAATGCACGTCAAAAGGTATATTCTATATATAGTACCTAAATGCACAATGGGTGTATGGTTAATACAGGGTCTCCTCAAAAAGGAATTTTACTCTAGACTTTAAGGGCATATATGGAAATAGAACAATAAAAAAAAGTTGAAAAGTCCTAATAAATGTAAGTGCAAAAATGAACGGTTGCCAAGATATCTCTCTTGGTCTTTGTTTAAACGATAAAACATATCGGAATTAGAATAAACAGATATGATTTCGACCAAATCTGACAAACTTACTGTTTGGATGAGGCGCAACCCCACACTAAGTTGTTCCTCAGAAATTTATTCAGAAATCCATCCGAAATTTGTAAATAAACTTTGTTTTTCTCGTTGTATAAGTCCATAACCCTTAAAGTCCAACCCTTTTTTACGGACACCTTGTATAATCAACATTGACGATGCAGTAACGCATGTATATTCTGTTAAATAATGTGACAGCATTATTGTTAAATATTTAATTGTTTAAAATATTAGATATGTTTTTTATTTAGCTAAACTAATTCACACTTTTTGCACTTCAAGTGAAATAGATATATGTTTGAAATTTGTCAAAAATGAGAAGAAAAGTTCTGGTACAATCTATACAGGTCACACAGGATGTCCTTAAAATGCAATAAAAAATATTTAATCTTTCGCGTATAGCAGCTTTCACCGCTCTTTTAGTACGTATTGATCTAGTGTAACGCATAGCAATCGAATTTGCTGTAATAGAATATATATTCAAAAGTGGCCCAGCTACGGTTCTCCAAAAGTTAGGGTCTGTTAGGTTCCCTTTTCTGAGAATTGACAGAACCATATCCATTTCTACCGATATAGATTAACCTTAATTTTGATTTAACCTATTTTTTATCTTTTTTTTCTAGTTCTATAAGAAAATTAGACCAAGAAAGAAATTAAACCAACCAGATTAAAGTTAATCTATATTGGTAGAAATGGACATTTTCAGTATTGCATATATTATTTGATAAGTTAATCGGGATTCGGTCAAAGTAGTCCATCCAGTCCCCCTTTACAGGAAGTTGTTTGTATGGAAGATTTTTTGCATGCAGCTCTCTGTAATTTGCATAAATTTCATATGGCTATCATGATTTTCGTGTATTATAAATAAAGGAATGATTTTGAATCGATTCAGCAATAGAATCTGTAGCGTCAACGGATCATTGTGTCTTAAGCATCAATCTGTTTCGTAGGGTAGTTGTTATAATTTGTCGCGTGCGCATGTGATGTACAGCTGGTTTTCTTCCGGCCTCTTCCGTTTTTTTTTTTCTTTTACATTTATCGTTAGTCAGAGATACATGAAAATGTACCTATATCAGAGCGATGGATAAACGTTCAGGTTTGTAATATTCACACTATGATTTATTTAGCGAAATGTTTTGCACTGAAACTACGTATTTTTTACTTAAACGGAGCTTATTTAAATAAATCCTGAATTATCCCAAGCTTCAGAGAATCGATATACAGGATGTCTCCTGCTTTTTTTTTTGCTGAAACTAATTAGCTCTTATTCTGTAACGTACTAGTATATCAGGAAGATTAAAATTGTGATTAACAGAAGATATTTGGCAGTTTTATTTGAGTTGTTATATTCTGTATACTCTATACTGTATACAATAGAAAATTTTGACATAATTTTATCTGATTTTACAAAAAAATGGCGAAAAAATCAGATATTTTTTAACGATGTTTATTTTCGTGTTAGAAAAAAGATAATGGAACCATTTAACATTTTTAATATCTAAGTCATGGAAGAAGAGATTGAGAGAATTTAGTTTCAGCAACTTTCCATGGGGTCTGCCGCTTGGCTAGCAAATTCAATAAGATCATCGTTCAAGAAATAATCATATTTCTGTTTCTCTTCTATGTGTTCCTCGTGAGTCATTGGTGGCACAAATGAAATGGAAAGCAGAAACCTGAGTCCAGGTTGTAATTTGTATTGCTGAATGACACTCGCAAAAGTATCAAACTCTCAATATTTGTATTTCATTGATAATAACGGCCCGAATAATGAATGTTGCTATTGTCGCGTTAAAGGTGCGGGAGGTAGTACTGCATGACACTGCAACAAACAACGGGCGACAGGCGTCAGGTTCTGCGAGCACTAAGCACTACCAGCACTAGATAGTCACTCGCCTTTGTCAGTTAGAAGCGGAACGGTCGGCGTGGCTGAACACATTCGCGCTCGATAGCGCTCGGCTCTCGCACGGTAGATCTCGACAGTTGTTCTTTTCTGTGCGACGAGCGCGTCAATCGGTCGATCTCGTAATCGCTCCGAGCATCACGAGGAAGGTGAAGAAACGCAAGTTGCTCGCATGGCGCATCCGGGTGTACGTATCGCAATTTAAACATTAAAACTCCGCAGACAGTTTTACATCTGGTCAAAGACTATCACGTATCTGTACGTAACTCCTGATTTTTCTTGACCTCTTTGGTTTCGTAATACTACCT